AATAACATGTAACTGATTTTATTCATTTCAATGGAATAATCTCATTTCTTTTTAATTTTGCATTATTTCCTCAGGTGATTAATTTCTTTGCTGCAAGGTGTCCATGACCTGTGAGTATTCACAACTTGCAGTAGATAGTAGTAAACTGTTAGTAACAGTGGCTAATGCTCACTCTTTTCCTGAGTGGATCATACCATTTCACCAGTTTAGTCATGTACCAAACCAACCAAATCCAACTTTCAAGAGTCTTATCAACCCACAAAAGAAATTAAAGTGAGAAACTAATTTTAGGATTATGCAAAAAATTTTAAAAAATGCAACTAAGACTGCAGAAGAAGAATTAACAAGAAAATTATATGAGGACTAAAAGTAGAAGAGAATTAAGTCAATGTCTAGAGGGCAGTTTGCAGTCACAGGATGTGCTTGTCATTAAAAGGCATAGAAATGGCCTGGAATAAACTCCATAATGTTCAACCAAGGTCAACAAGTCCAAACTCCAGCATCTGGGGTGAAATAACCCAATGTCCCAGCACTGATTGAGCCTGACAAGCTGATAGGGATGTCAAATTGCTGCCTTCAGATATCTGAGGGATGATTGCAGGGAAGGCAAATGGACTCTTCTCATAATTGCAAAGGGAAAGCCCAAGAGGCAACAAACACAAATTGCACAACTGATATTCCAATAAGACACAGAGGGGAGAAGAAAGTCACCATGGAGGGAGTCAATGCATTGTGTTTATGGAGTCTTCCACCTTGGAAGTATTCAGATCTTGCCCTGACATGGCTCTACAGCCTGATCTAATTTCAGTTAACCCTGTCTCAAGCACATGCTTGTCCTAGGACCCTTTCAGTATAAACCTCTTTGCTTCTGTAACTCCTGACTGCTGGCAAGCAAGCATTGGCTCACTGTTGAATTCTGCTCCCCTCATATTGAAGGTTTACAAATGAAAATGTGGAAATGCATTCATTTATAAATGAAATGTGGGTTCTTCTACTGTTAGAACTTATAAGCAGCTCATACTAGTACAGACTATAATATTTTGCATACCAATTAATCCAAGAACTCACTTTTAATTACTATTCGCTCAGTGTCCTTGGCTTGCCTATTAATTATTGCTACCATGGCCTTATTGGCAGATAAAATTGTTTAGCAAATGACTTCATTTGCAGGAGTCACAACTCCAACTTGAGACTACCCATGTTAAGCTATGTCTTTGGCCAGACACTAATCAATCTGTATGAATTGTAAGTGGCCACAGTTTTTAATCTTCTGGGCTAATCTCTTCACCATTAGAGCATTAATTCAGAATTTAAAATGCAGAGGCATCTTTGGGTAATAAATGTTTGTCTTTTATTAATTATATATAGTGTCAATGATATAAACAGATAAATTATGCAAAATATGGCAAACAAGTCCATCAACACAAAATTCCTCCGATTTGTGACAAAAAACATTTGATTAGGAATAAAGCAGGACTAAACCATGGACAATTGCAGAGATTTAACCTTGTCTGGCTGTCAGATGCCCACCCAGAATATTCCTCAGTGCCCTCCTCAGCACAGCAGGGCAAAAGTCATTTGTAACCATCCTCAAGGGGTGCAGGGAGATGAGGACTGAGGGTTTGTGGTCACTCCATAACAGCTCGCTGTCACTTCCTCCTCTTCACCTCCTTTCTCTACTCCCTGCAATGGCACAACTCTGCAAAGTGAATTATTTAGAGACATCCTCCATTTGTGTTATAGACTCAGTGTTCAGAAAGATGTCGAAACTTAAACTCCTTAAAAATGAAGGATATTAAAATTATTGCTGAGAAAGCACAAAAAGTTACAAAGACACCACTATGGAACAGTTCAGCAGAGCTCAGCACTACAAACATGACCTGGTCACAATTATTCATCTATATCTACACACATTTGTACTCATATATGTGTGTGTCTGGGAGATACAATATATACAAAAGCAATTCCCACTCTGTCTAGCATGTTGACCCAGAGATCTAATCCATTTGCAAGATACAGACTCAGTTTTCTCTTGCTCTGTAAGGGCAGTATGATTAAGCTGCACAGAATTTTGTTTTAAAAACTTTGGGTTTAAGTAAATAAGTGTATCTTTTTAGTAAAATGAAATATTAATATATTGCTTTCATTATGGTATGATATTACACTAAATTGAGGTTCCTGCTGTCAGGGCAATATTTTGAATGTGATTTAGTGCTTTATATCCTTTCAAATGGCAATTCTTTCAAATACCATAGTTCTCAAAGAGTGAGACAAGGGACTAGTTCTCAGACGAGTGAAGGAAATAGGGACAGAGAATTGCTATGTCGTCCAAGAACCTCATTTCAAGACTTTCTCGTTTCTTCACAATTTATATTATCTCCATTTCTGTCAATTAACAGATAGGTGGAGCTTCTCTCTTCCAAAGATTGGCTCAGAAGTTTCCTTTTCCTTTGACAGGCAGGAATGTGGCTGGTGTGCTCAGATTCTCCACAAGGAAGAGTGTCATACCACAAATCTGGGTTTAGCACTCTGATTGAGAGTCAGAAACAGCAACTCCCAGGGCTCAAAACATAGAATCAGTACGGCTTTACTTTTCTGAAGCTCAAAAATTTTGACAGATTAAATTTTTAAACAAACGGTTAAATTGGTTACTACACTGCCTGTTTAATTTATTCTTGCTCTACTAAAGCTGCAGCTCTCACCCTACACAGCACTTTAACTTTATCAAGGACTTGCATCCCATGGCACATTTATGCCTGGCAAGAAAATACAAAACAAGCACACATTTCACAATGCCTTCTCTGATTAGTTCTCCAGTTCTGTGGTCAAAGAACCATGTCTTACACAGATTAAATTTGTGCTGCTGAATTACTGCTCAGTGCTGAACATGTTGCTGAGCTATGGCACATTACTAAACAATTCATTTCCCAACACTTCCTTTATAAATGAAATTACTTTTAAAAGAAATTTCTAAGCAGAATGAGGAAAGATACAGCTTTCACCGCTGTCCTCATAATTACCTTTGTGAGGAATTATCAAAAGAAAACTGTACAAGCAATAAATTTGGCAGCAATATTTTATATTGTCATTTTAAAATATCAAATTACAAGAAATAGTGCAAATCCAGTGACCTACCTTACATTTCTGTGGGTTTGCTTGTGTTTTATCTGAGACAAGTGTCTTCAGTGCTTCCCCTCTGAGTGGATTTCTTTTCTTCTTATTTGCATATCCTGTGCATGATTATGACTGCTCAGAATGTTGTAAAAACCTGTGTCAGTGAAGTTATATGATGTAATTCATTTACAAGCAACTCCTATAAATATCTCTTTGTGTGGATTATTACTTTCCTTTTCAAGCTGTGTCTTGTCAGGCCCTAATTCACAGAAGTTTTTGAGACAGAAATGAAGCTGAGAAAACCATCTGATGAGAAATATGTTTCTCCTAGTAGCTATGAGATTTTCTTTGCTTCTCTGCTTGCAATTTTTGTGTGTGTTTCTGTTGGACTGATTGTACTTTCTTGGTTATCAATCCAGGAGTTGGAACGAGGTAAGTAGTCAACCTTTAGCTACAGACTTCTACGAATTTCTTAGACTTTGAAGACAGTGCTCTTACAATTGTAGGGGGTTTTTTGTTTGTTTGTTTTGTTGTTGGGTTTTTTTTGTTTGTTTGTTTGTTTTCGGTTTTTTTTGGTTTTTTATTTCATGCTATGTTTTTAATGCTGGGGGCAGGGGAAGTGGTGTTCTAGGGTTTATGTGTTTTCCTTCCCTGAAAAATGATGTGAGCAAAATAGGGGGTAACACCAAGATCTATAATCATACTCTGAAGATATATAAAATAATTTTCATGGTTTAGGCTTTGGAAAAGATCCCTAAGATGAAATCCAAGCCATAAAGCTTGGGTTATTCCCCCATATTCATCAACTGGTGAAGGTAATATGGAAAACTGAGAAATTTTACCTTTTTCTCCATGTATGAGTTTTGAATCAGAATAAAAAAAATCCAGTGACAGTCTAATAATCTCCTACGGTTTGTGGGGCCCATCCCTTGGAATATATTAATTTTTTTTTTATTTAAAAAATATTTTTAAGTCATTTATTGGTATGAGAGAGTTCCTGCATAAGTCAGTTTATTTGCCCCAGGTAAAGTCACTCTTAGTCTTTATTCAGTGCTTAGAATGTGATGGAGGAAGTTACGGATACTCAAAGCAAACTAAATTAAAATATCAATATATCTATATCTATATCTATATCTATATCTATATCTATATCTATATCTATATATCAAATATATATATATAAAATACATATATTGATTTATATAATATATATATGTGATTAGATAGATAGATAGATAGATAGATAGATAGATAGATAGATAGATAGAATGTTTCATGATTTTTTAATGGAATTAAAATTTTGGTTAAGAAATCATGTGTATATAAGTGAAAGGGCCACATCTGGAGGACTGCATCCAGTTCAGGGCTCCAAAACATGTGAGGGATATGGAGCTACCAGAGAGAGTCTCAAAGTGATTTTTGTTGCTGAAGAAATATTGTGCTACATTTATGATTTTGCTGCTTTCATAAACCAAAAACCCACACTATTTCATTCTGATGGCTAAATTTTCATGAAGACTAAACTTTCTGTTAGACTTTTGTTAAAAAAGTAAAACCAATCAACCAAAACCATTATGTCAAGATATCACGTTTGTTCCTTGGGTTGCCATTGGTTTTATTTCCAGATTTTAAAAAGTGCAACACCTAACAACTTTTTTACCTTCTTACCAGAATTTTATCACACTTCAGTAAAATAAAATGGTGTATTATTGAATCTAGATACAGGCTTTTATTTAATGATTTTGTTTTTAGAAGAAAAATAGGAAAATATTTTTAAAAATATTATTAGAACATATTTTTAATTATAGTTGATATATAATTTTAAAAGGCTTTTGCTATTTAGAAATATTTTTAAACAGATTCGCAATTATTTTAAAGACCAGCCTTCAAAGAAGCTCAAAGCAGTCTGCTATTATTAGTTGACATTCAATTGGTGTCACTATGCTATGCCTTCCATAATAAACTGTTCACTGTAGTATTTATTGCTTATCTGCTGTTATGATTCAGTTATTAAATTTATTAGAAATGCCTCTGCCCAAATTAACGTGCAAATGAGTTCGTATGCCAAAGTCAATAGTATGGGTTTTATCTAACAGTAAATAAGTGAGAGATAAAAAGGAAGAAATAGGAAAGAGGGGCTTGGGATGGGAGAGTAAGGTGGAGAAAAACTAAGTAGAAAATATCAACTCCATGGATCCTGATGGCATCTTGTTGATCTTCTTGGTGGTAAGGGTTTCTTGAAAAACACAGAATCCAGTGGATTAATGTATGTTTGGGCCAGGTGGGAATGCCCAGGTTCCTGTTAGGAGGTGTCCTCAGGGAGGAGAGGGCTTTAGTGGTCACAGCCTCTTTATACAGTTTTGCCATAATGGACAAAACTCCTTTACAACAATGTTTAAGCCGTGAACGATAATATTTCAGTCTCTTACATCTGCTTTTGTCTTAAAACTTGCTTTGATGTTAATGCCTTCAAACACAACCTGAAACACCACTGTACTGCAGCCAGTAAGCAAAAGGCATTTCCTATCAATCCATTTTAATTCAGATATTTTCTGAGAATTTCCAGTGTGTTACACAGTGAAGAAATATTTTTTTAATGTGTAATGAATTCCTTTATGTATACATCATGTCCTGTAGCATATTGAAATCAAGATTAAATTTGCAGAAAGGACCAGTTGTCTAATTTCTTTATAAATTCTCCCAGAATTTCGTGTGTATATTGGTGAGAAAGGTCAGGTCAAAAATAATTTCACTATTCTGACACTGGATGTTTCCAGTGCTGTCATTGAAAACAGTTTACACATATAAAAAAGGGCAAAAATACATAAAGTGTGAGGCAATAATTCATAATACTTTTTTTATCCAGAACATACAAAATACTCATAATTCACTATTTGCCTTCCCATTTATCTCTGTCCCTTGTGTTAGACATAACTGGGCATATCATTGTATCCTTTATGCACTCAGTGTTGCAGGAAAACAGCATCTAAAACAAAACTGAAAGTAATGAGAGCTAAGGGCAAATAGAATTCATAAAAATATGATTACCATTATAACTATTGTAAACATTAAAAAGTCTATGTTTTCTTTAAACTCAGCACTAGGCAGAACATCTCTGATTACAAAGCAGTAAAAACACCCCTAGAAATTATTGTATTCATGATCTGTGTGAAATGAAATCTAATGTAATATTTTTCATTTATTTCTATATAATTAAAGCACCTTTTTATTTTCATTATCTAGTTGAATCAGAGGGAATTACTCATATCTATATGGGAATATTAAAAATAGTCTCTGGCACGTCTTTCACTTCAACCTTACAAAACAGTTCCTCAGCTGATTTCAAAGTCCTTGCCTTTGATGTCGAAAAATTGGTAAGAACCTATCAGGTTGTGGTTTATTCAAGACTATTTGTAGGTACATTAATTCCTTAACAATAACTACTGTTAATATTTTTTTCTTTCCAAAAAAAGGGTTATTTCAGGTCCTAAGCCTGGTCAGAACCCAATATATTCCTTATTTGAGAAAATCAATGAATCATCAAACAAATACTTTGTTTCTATAGTCTAGAAAAAGTTATTTAGTACTGAAACCATGATTATAGTGTGAGAATGTGTGTATATTTCATTATTATTACTTTATTATTAATATCTAATTATTATTACTTTATTTTTATTAATATTAGTATTTATTATAATAATATTATTATATAGTCTGGGGTTTTTTTTTAATTATTATATTGGTTCAAGATTCCTCTTTTTCATATAGGTACAAAATATCTTTCACGAAAGTGATCTGAAATACAAGTTTGAGAGATGTGAAATCTCCCAGTTCAAGTAGGTACAGCTTAATTTAACTTTGAAAATAAACGTCAAAAGTCCTTACTTAGATATTTCTCTCAGAAGTATTTACCTTGATTATCAAGACATCCTTGGGAACCTCCTGTGTTATGCCTTTCACTCTTACATCTTCCAGTGTGCTCAGTTTGACACCAGTGCGTTTCCTTGGGTGAAATTCCCTCTCAAGCAGTCCCTGCCTCGACCAAGCCAGTAAGGCTGAGCCCTAACACCCACTCAGAAAAATTCCATATTTCAAAGAACTGCTGAATTATTTTTTTGCTAAGGTGCTATTTGCAGGGTTGCTGATCCTTGCCATGTAGAGCAAATTTCAGGTTAGAGATCTCCTGGCACAAGCCTGGAGGCTCAGGCACTGATATGTCCCTATGGATACTGATCCACTTAATTCACATTCCTTAGGGCTTTAACAAGTAAGGCTGTCACTTGACACCAGGAAAAGCTGCAGCCTCTGTGTCCTAAAGGTTCTGTGAATCTGCTTCATTTAGTAAAGCTCATTTTCAATATTCTGAGGTGTTGGTTGTCCTACTGAAGACCTGCTGACAAAAGTTATACAGCCAGGTCTGTGCTGTTAATTCCTTCTTCACTACTCTTCAAAAGGTTCTGATTCAGCAAAACACCTGTAACACTGTCTCCCATTATCCCACAATTCCAGGGTGTGTTCCCATCCTGTCCAAAACATTCTAATCCCAATGGGAACCATGTGGTGTTGGTTGTGGTTTTTGTTTTTTATTGTTTTTCTTTTTTCTACAGGAGGTCAGAAGATGATCATGACAGATTGACATCAGAGACCAGGTAATTGTATACGACAAAGTTTACTTAAAATATAGGCAAGAGACAATGATACTAGTAATTTAGACAGTTCTTCTGTGGACTGTGAATAGATTAAAAAAAAAAAAAAAACAAAACCCAAACTTTTTTTGATTTAGATAAGGCCCTCTAAAGAGGATGAAGCTTCAAGACATCTTTTCTCTTAAAACTTCCTTTAGGATTAGAGTTTAAAAAGGTGATAGTCTCTGGGACTGTCCATTTAGAAAGAAAAATGAAGAGTGAGAAAGGTAAGAAACTGTCTAGAAAGGAAAAGATATAGGTTTGTGCTGAGTTTGCTCATGTAAAACTGCTTAAAATGAGGTCAGATCTTATGTCACTACCAGCAACTCAACTTTTAAATCAAGAGAAGTCTAATGACACACTGTGATAGGCAAGAAAAAATGAGAGGATAAAAGATTGACTCTAGCAGAACTGAAGAACCCTGGGAAATGAACGGTAAAACTTGCTGTCTCATAGGTGAACCCAGAAAATTAAAGTACACATTACATGAAAACAGATCAATAGTTTTGTGCTACCACATGTTCTTGTGATACCAGTGTAAGTACATAAAGTTGATAAATATGTAGAGGAGATTAGTTTATTTGAATGATTGTCCTTGAAAAAAAAACCCACAAACAAGATATTGGGATATTATCTGACCATGAATATCAATAAGTAATGGGAAGCAGATTAATATTGGAGCAATCTTTTCACTATAGTGAGGAATAGTGAGGACATAACCCTATTAGCTAGAAAGCAGAGTATGATCACTTTATGAAGGATTATGTAACATAAAGGGAATGGACTGCACAGCAGCAGCAACACTTCCAAAGTGCTGTCCTTGTAGGTAGATCCACTCAGGAAATTTGGGTTCTGCACAAAGAAAGGGACATTTCTCATCAAAATTTGGGCATCAAACATGGAGACATCTCTGAGGGATTTGCTCAAGGCTGCCTTTGTAAGTGCTGGGTGTTTAGTTTTCTCATCTGGTCCATTTAGATGCCTTTTAGGAGGAGACCAATTATGCCAAAGAACAGCTTATTTCTTTCTATCAACCAAAATGGGAATCTTGATATCTGCACTGTAAATAACTGTTGGCAGAACTCATCCCACCACTGTATCTTGACACAACAATCATAGAAATTGCAGAAAATCTGCTGGAATTGAACCTTGGATCCTGTTTTTAACACAACAGAAAGGATTTGTCTTAACTTCTGCATCAAATAACTTTGTCTCAGACACTACTTTCTTTTCATTTAAAATGTGTTTACCCCTTCAGGCAATCTGCTTGGCATTTCACCCTTGAAACGCTGCAGCTGAGTCACAAGGAGAGCAATAAAAGCTTTTGTTTGCTCAGCATGGCCTAGAGGTTATCAGAAATAAGCAAGGAGGAGAGCTTTTCTGCATATTGCAAACTACAAACTATGCTCAGCAAAACGACAAATCACAGGATTAATCACTCCTTACAGAGAGCACTACTGAGTCAGTTGCAAGTGGGTAGTTTAAGGATAAAAAAAGTTTACACCTAAATTTAAGTGAAGGAGAAAATGTTTATCTTTGGCAAGTGTCATACTTCAACATTATCTTACTCTAGCTGCAAATATAAAACTTCATAATAGTGTCTAGAAAGGATGGAGAGAACAAACAGAAAACACTCTGGATAAAATTCATAGAAGTTAAATGCAGTTTAACCACAATTTCTAAATATCTCTGTTTTCAGCCATCATTTTTTCCTTGTGAGAATCCAGGCAATCACACAGCAGATCTGCAAAAATGCAGCATCCACAGATTTTCTTTATAAAAATGGTCACTTTGTATTATATTTTGCCATATTATACAATTTTCGTAATACTTCCAGGTGCACCTTCAATATTTTAGGGCTAAAACTAACAGACCTGTTGAACAACAGTAAAGCTGTTTCTTTAGTTTTCAGCTCCATTGCATCAATTGAAATAAATGTTGTCTTGTAGGGTTTTTTTCTGATAGTGAGAGTAAGAGTAGATGAAGAAAAAACAAAGTTTCTCCAAGATTCAAACCGACCTGATGATTAAGAGATGCTTCTTTATATCATCTTTGCCAGCCAATATTTAAAAATCAATCTGTCTTTGCCATTGGAACCAGAGTTAGAATGAAATATTGTCTAGATGATGTTGCATAGCAAATTTTTTTCATCAGTTTCAATAACTAATTAATTTCTCTGTTTTGTGTTGCTAGTGTGGTTGTGATCCTCACCCTTTATTTTACCCAGACAGCAACAGCTGAGAAAATAAAAAATGAGCTGGTTTTGGGTGTCACTGCAAATAACCCTACCGAGACTTTGAAAATTGATGTGAACAGCATACAAATCACAGGTAATATTAGAAAGGGGGTTTTTTGAGGTTTTTGTTGCTTTTTTTTGTTTGGGTTTTTGTTGTTTTTTCGGGTATTTTTTGGTTTTAATTCTAAAAATGCCTCAGAACTACAGGTAGCAGGAAGGAAAGTTTTGTCTCCCAGACAGTAATTGAATTGCTACTTTTCCAACATTCCATAACTTTCAGTAGCAGCTTAAAGAAGAATTTACGACCTTTTCTACTAGAAAGTATGACCAGCATTGTGTACATTCCCTAAGGAGGGAGTAAAGGGCAAGGTAGAGGTTTCCCAGTGAAAACCACTCAATTTCAGTTCTTATGAAGCGTAATATTTGTAATTTTTAGCCCTCTAATTAAAGCAATTAAGCCCCAACTATGTTGTTTCATAAATAAATACAGTTACAATTTTATTCTGCTAAAGAATGAGAAAAGGGCTCAGAGTGGCAGTGAGTAAAGACGCATTTACTGAAAAATATGTCCTGTAGGAAAACAAACTGCTTTGGGAGGAGTGCACCCAGGGAACTGGCTTCATATTCCTGTAGCGCCTAGGTAAATGTAAGTGATGGAGAAAGGAACAGGGCTTTGAGGACTAGGTATCTTTAAATTCTGCAAATATCCAGATATTTTATGTAAGTACTGGAAAATATACCAAAGTCTAAATGGAAGCCCTTCAAGATCAGTGAGAATCCTTTTTCTTTACCTTAATAAACCTTCAAAACAGCCCTTCACTGAGGATGAGGTTAAAAAACAATCTGAATTCTTTGAAGCAGAAGTTGGTAAGCTGACATTTGAAGACCTGCTGGAGTTACGACTAAGTAAAAACTGAGGAGTGTCAATCTGCTGTGCCATGTCTCTTAATCTATACTAAAAGCTGCATTTTTTGCTAAGTACTTCAAGTATTCAAAGGCTAAATTCAGAGTCTGGGCATATTTAGTTCTCTTTACTGCTTGTTTATTACAAGTTACCACACAACACTGTGGAAATTGATTGCTCATTATACTTCACAAATGCCACCAAAAAAATAATTAAGAGCCTCTTAAAAGGTTCATCCACTGATGAACTTTGAAGTAGTCAAACTTTTACTGCTGTGAATCATTAAAATGCCTCTTTTCACATGAGAAATCACCTGTCCATTCTACCAGGAGTGCTTCAATAAAATAATTGTAACTAATTAGCAATCACAATCATATGAGGCACTTTTGAATGGTGTATTTCAATGTGTTCTGCCAGAGACATTTGTCTTTCAGAGAGGGAGAGAACTGTCACACAGTCATGGCTTGCTTGAAATGAGTTTTCACAGTGATTAAAAGTAACTTTCTTTCTTGTAAACTATGCCAGGTCAATTTTAACTCATTCATCTCTTCTAAATACTGTTCTCTAAGACACAGGTGCTCTGCAGATCTGTATAGAATAAAAAGCCTCGGGAGAGGTTTCCCAGGTGAAGATATTCTATGTGCAATACAATCAATAGGGATTGAGGATTGAAAGGAACTGCAGTGGCTTTGAAACCTCATAACTCCAACTCATTTTTGGGATCTTTCTTCCTTGGGAACATCATGGAGTTTGAGAAAAGATTGGGAACAGGATGAGGGAAAAGGAGGGAAGCAGGATGCTGACAGTGATTCAATGAGAAATAGTTACAGATTACTTCTTTTAAATCTTTATTTCTGTCTTCTAAAACTAGACTCTGTGCTATAAAAGAAGTTTATAATGAACTTGTTTTCTTCCAGTAGCTGCTGAAAATCCTACTACAACAACACCTTTAACCTCATCAGGTCAGTATCTTTCTCAAAGCAGGCACTAATTTCTGTTACCAATACAAGATGAAGGAAAACAAGAATTGCTGTTCAGCTCACATAACTTAGTAAAGCTGCCCTGGCAGTCAAGCTGGGGCTTGACTGCCAGGGTCCATTCAGTGATAATTAACTGCTTTCACCATTTCTGACTATTTGAGAAAGCAGTGAGTGATCTGTAGTCTGTACAAAATCTATAGGAGCTTAATTAGAGTATCAAACCAAAGGCTGAGTCTCCATTAACCAGCTGAGCTGCAAGCTGAAGATTTTGCAGATTTGGGGAGGTAGATCAGGGTGGGGAGTCCTGCTCTCATGTTGTGGTTATTGATTTACTAAGCAATGTTGACAAACAGATTTTCCTTCCACTATCCCTGGAAGTTTTACAATGATAAGACACGAAGCAGACAAAATTAGTCTCACAAAGCTGCCAAAAGTCAGCAAGAGAGATAAACAATACAGTAAGTGTTTTATAGCACAAGATGCAGGTAGTCACACACAAACTGCATTCAAATTATCACACACATACTCTCCAGGGCACAGGGTACCAGACCAGAGGCTAAACAACTGCCCCTATAAATATAGGAGACAAGTATTTATTAATATTCTAATTACAGCCATGGTGATGAAAGAGTTACTGTTAGTCTGGTTACAGGCCTTCCAACGTGTATAGTCCAAAGTGTGCAAGTACTGTGTCTATTCCCAAAGATATAGTTTAAACTGCTAACATTCAGGTTTTTCCCTATCTGTCCCTTCCTCTGGCATGCTATCTTAATGCTCCCCTGGTCCTAAGTTCAATGTTGCTAATCATCCTCAAGCAAAATTTGGAGACTGGGGGAGGTTCCTAAGCAAAGGGAAAGGGAGTTGAGAATCGTCAGCACCCAAGGCTGGAATGGCAACAATACTCCTGGTGTGAATTTCTTCTCCCTTGGCCTTGGGTCTGCTTGAGGTCATTTTTGTTTTTTTGTTAATATTTCCTGCTTCCTTCTTCTTTATGTTTCAGTCCAAATGTCACAAAATACCCACATTTTACCATACCAGATACATTTACACCTGCTGGATGCAGGGTTATGGCTCTGCTGACCCTAAAAACATCCTTTGCCATCTCAACCTGTTACTTCAGTGAGATTTTCTAGTAATTGTGCTTATATCACTGCTGCTTCTGTTACTGTCTTGCATTTTCCTTTTTACTGTCAACTTGTGCATGCACTTTTGGGAACATCTATAGCAACCACAAATTTTCAGCAGTTTTCAAGATGCAGCTCCCTGATTAACTGTTTTCTTAGAGCTGTTTGCTTCTGCATGCACTTATGTTTTAGGTCTTGGAATGTTTAATTACTTCTAAATTGGTTATCCTGTAGTAAATGTATAGACAGATATGTTAGTATAAATAAATAAATAAATAAATATATATTATACAATATAATATAGAGAATATATTATATAATAAAAATAATAGATATAATATATATAATATACTATATATTTTATATATCAAAATATATATAATAGATATCTTTTGAAGTTATTGAAACACTTGGGTTTCACATATATATATATGTGTGTGTGTGTGTGCATCTCTTTGAAAACCTGTGATGGTATGAATTAAGCTTTTTTTTCTCTGCAGTAGCTGTGAGAACAGTCCATCTATTCACTGCTCTTCTCTCTCTCTGCCAAAGAAATTGTGTCCCTAAATTTGCTGACACAAAATGCACTGTAAACAGAATGGCCCAGTTCAGCTTAACGGTATTTGCTAAATAAGCAGATTTTGAGCAAAAATTGGTGGGAAATCCTGCTGGAAATTTATGCACTAGGTCTGGGAGAGCAGGAATATCTAACAAAAGTCATTTGATGATGGCCAGTGGTCAGCAGCTTCTTCCCACAAAACTATAGAGAAATCCTTACTGCATCTTCCACTTTATTCCTTCAGGCCCCTCATCCTATAAACTGAGGTACAGAACCCAGTACCTGCAGTGACTTGGGAATTGTTTTCAGTCAAAGACATCATTATTCTTCTCACATATTTGAGTCTTAATTTAGAAAGTAGAAATAGTAAACAGGGATGCTAAAGCAAATTCAGAGAGGAAAAGTAAAAAGACTGTTTGGGAGCTGGAAACGCCAGGTGCATCCTCAATGAAGTGAAACGTATTTTGGAGTAATCAAAAATACACATTCCATTTTTCCAGATTGTTTTGCAGTTTGCAATCACTGATACACATCTGCTTATTTACCCAGGGATTTTTTCATGTGTAAATATGAACACCCACAGTATATACATATATATATATATACAGACCTGTATGTAAATAGAAAAACACTAGATAGGTTGGAAGCTTCTAATTGATTTGTAGAGCAATTTTATTTGTCAGAAAATGTATTTCTTTTAGTACTACTGTTGAAGTTGTCATAATTTTCTTGTTTCATCAGATCCCACGAGTTTCATTACAAGTTCCCTGACACCAACTCCAGGTCAGAACTTTTACTGGGGAAAACAAGAAAGAATTGCTCCTGTTTTGGTGGGGAGAAAGTGGAAGGAGGAAAGAAATCTTTTGAAGTTATTGAAACACTTGTGTTTCACATATTTTTTTCTTATGTTTGTTGTGACACTGGAGCTTCAGGACCAAGCCACTGAAGCTGGCACTGCCTGGAGTGTGGGGAGCTTTTTTTTTTGTTTATTTTTTCTTTAATATCTGCAAAAATGCAGCTATAAAAGCAGATTGGCTGCTGCTTAATTCTGCCCATGCAACCACAGAGGTGCTCCCAGAGAGCAAGAAGAAGAGTTCTAACCTTGGGTTGTGTTTGTCCAGGTTCAGGACAGCTCACCACAAGCAAGCCCTCAACAACAGTGGGTGAGTAACTGTGTGTGTGTGGAGGATATGCATGGAGGTTCCACAGAGCAATCTGAGATTGCAAAATTGCACTGCTCATGTGCAGCATCTCCTCACAGCATTCAATCCTTGTATTCCATTCCTGAATATATATATATAAATATATATATATATACCTGTATGTAAATAGACAAACACTCGATATGTTTGAGGCTCCTGATTTATTTGTAGAGCAATTTTATTTGTCAGAAAATGAACCTTACCTTTTAGTACTAATGCGGAAATTGCCATCACTTTTCTTGTTTCAACAGATCCCACGAGTTTCATTACAAGTTCCCTGACACCAACTTCAGGTGAGAACTTTTACAGGGGAAGACAAGAAAGAATTGCTCCTGTTTTAGTGGGGGGAAGGTGGAAGGAGGAAAGGAATCTTTTGAAGTTATTGAAACACTTGGGTTTCACATAAGTTTTTCTTATGTTTATTGTGACACTGGAGCTTCAGGACCAAGCCACTCAAGCTGGCACTACCTGGAGTGTGGGGAGCTTTTTTTTTTTTTTTGTTTTTTTTTGTTTTTTTCTTTAATATCTGCAAAAATGCAGCTATAAAAGCAGATTGGCTGCTGCTTAATTCTGCCCAAGCAACCACAGAGGTGCTCCCAGAGAGCAAGAAGTAAAGTTCTAACCTTGGGTTGTGTTTGTCCAGGTTCAGGACAGCTCACCACAAGCAAACCCTCAACACCAGTGGGTGAGTAACTCTGTATGTGTGGAAGATATGCAGGGAGGTTCCAGAGCACAATCTGAGATTGCAAAATTGCACTGCTCATGTGCAGCATCTCTTTACAGCATTCAATCTTTGTATTCCATTCCTGAAAATTCAGGATATGCAGGTTTACCTTAGACCAAGGAGACCTCTTCAAGGAGAAGGGACTTCTAAGACTGTAGATGCTACAGAAATGCTGGATGTGTTATGCATGTTGATGTACACATTGGCACTAATACTAGTTGCTCTTTTTTTAAAATTCATATAATTTTTTTTACTTTTATGAGGAAAATAAAATAAGCAAACTGATAGCAAAGTATGACTTCCAATGGACAGAAAGCTGAAGATGTTTGAGTCTTTAAAAGCATTCTCCAGCCTTCTTACATACTGAAATATATATGATTTCTACAAGCAACCTAATGTGTTCAAGTCTTATGTGTTTACTGCCCTTATTTAATTGAATGTAAGACTTACAGCACAATTTAGGGTAATTTGCCATTTAAAAAAGAAGTCAGAATGTTTAAGCAGGAAAAGTTGATTTCTTTCAATCCAGGAGGTGGCAGTGCTGTTTAGTTTTCTGAGTTGAATAGGCCCAGAATTGATCATGTTGTGTGTAAACAATGATTTCTTGCCTGATGAGCTTGTGCAAAATCTCTTCCCGGGTTATTGGTTGGAATTTTTGCTCTGGGTCTAGAATGCTCAGTTTTGTCTCTGCTCATCTGTGGAGATTCATTCACTGGCCCTGTGTCGCCTCCAACACTTTACTGGAGGATGTTTGGTTCATTTTAATTTCCAGTTGGATGCAAAATGGTAAATCTTGTGGCTTTGTGACATTTGCATTGCCAACATTGAGGGTGTTTTGTAAAGCACTTTGAGGTGCTGCAATGCTCCACACCAATGTCAGTCTGGGACACACAGTAAAATGTCATATTTAATCTGATTACAGAACTAACAGATCTATGGAAAAAAAAAAAACATGAAAAAGATGAAATTTTACAGATTACTCTTTCTCCTTCTTGCATCAGAACTGTTGACCTTTTTCTGTAAGCATTCATTGAAGTAGAGACAAGGAACTGTGTGAATAGTTCTATAGAATTTAATGCAATTTTAACAATTTTCAAATCAGTAGTTCTCCAAAGCTTAGTTTAGCTGCATGTTTCTGTTCACTTTAATAGGACCTACTTCAATTCTAAAGATATCTAAGACCAAAACCCTCTAAAGATTAAGAGATTTTTTTGCAGTAGATGAATATTTATGCTCTAGGAAAAGGCTATTAGTAAGATCGACAATTTCAAGGGTCTGCCCATGTATTCTTCTAACAGAAATTTGCTCTTATACATTTAATTTTTAAATCTGAACAGAATTATGGTTTCTGATAATTCTGGTGTTTAAGAATCTAAAGGCTCTTTTTTTTAGGATGTGCTGGTTAAAATATCAGATTTCTTAGCATGATGAGGTGCAACAATATGAAGTGTTAAAGCTGAAGAAATCAATTAAATTCTGTTTACCTAAACCCAGAGATTTTTCACTGTTATTTAAACCAAAGTACAATTTTCTCACGTTATATGAACACAAGAAATTGGAAAATGTCATTCATTATATTGCATAAAGTAGTTTATTTGTGTAAAGGGAAAAAAAAAAAATTCACAGACATTTTCTTCCAGCCTTGCTTCAAGCTTGGTTTCAAAACATATTTCACTTCTGAGAACTCTCTCCATTCTCTGCCAAATTTATCTTTTTAGTATGTGATATTTCATTCCAGGCTTCTAAAAATGCAGTTTTGTAAAACACAATAGAGTGGTTGATTTGATTTGCGGTAAAGCAAGCAGAGGTAAGTCAATTTTCCTTTGTAGTGAGACTGCATTACTGTTGTGCTGTTATTGCTCTCATCCTTATTATTCCAGCTGAGTGTTTGCCACCTGCTGAACTCTGTGCTGATGGTGCAACCTGCATTAGTGAAGAGTTCTTTTGTGATGGAGTCTTGAACTGCCCAGATGGTTCAGATGAATCTGAAAAAAGATGTGGTAAGAATGTAAACTCCTGTGAATCATTCTTTTTACACATGCTTAACACTGTCAGATGTTTGTAAATAGTTTATGGGCAATAAACCTCACAGGGAAGTCCAAATCAATTATATTAAGCATAATAATGAGTGATTTTTATAATATTTATCTTGCAAGAGGGAACAATGTTCTGTAAAATTCTCACTAATGAAGCATATGCTTAATAAATAATGAAATATTGGAGTCTTTCTCTTTTAATATAAAGGTATATGGGACCGTGTTCACAGGGATCTTAGGATGAGGGAGGAGATGAGGATCTGACTCCATGTTTCAGAAGGATGATTTATTATTTTATGCTATACATTGTATTAAAACTATACTAAAAGAATAGAAGAAAGGATTTCATCAGAAGGCCAACTAAGAATAGAAAAGAAAGAATGAATAACAAAAGCTTGTGGCTCAGACTCTTATGACTGGGCTGTGATTGGCCATTAATTAGAAACATTCAACACAGGCCAATCACACATGCACCTGTTGCATTCCACAGCAGCAGATATCAATGTTTACATTTTGTTCCTGAGGCTTCTCAGGAGGAAAAATCCTAAGGAAAGGATTTTTCAGAAAATATCATGGCTGCAGTTATACATTTTTTGCTTACTGTAGAAATATTGCTAACATAAATCCTATGTAAATTACAAAATAATACACTAATTTAATGTGAAGATTTGCATCAGTGATATCAAACAGTGTTCAGAGCAGATGACCTATACAGGTCCCATTCAACCTCAGCCAGTCTGTGATTCTATGAAATTACAGACCTGAGACCCCATTGAAGTTTAACAAAAAGAGCTTTTATCCTTCTGTACCAGTCAGTTTGTTTGCTTTTGCATTATCTTGGAGTACTGTGCCCATTTCTGGCCCACTCACTACAAGAGGGACATTGAGGGACTGGAGAGGAAGGGCAATAAAATTGCAGAATAATCCGTGTGAGGAGCTGGGAGCCCTCAGCCTGGAGAAAAGGCAGCTCAGGGATCAACTTGTCGCTCTGCACAACAAGATGGAGCCAGGGCAGGTCGAACCAGTGACAGGACAAGAGGAAATGGCCTCAAGCTGTGCCAGGGGCAATTCAGGTTGGACATCAGGAAGAATTTCTTCACAGAAATGGTTGTCCAGCATTGGAATGGGCTGCCCAAGGAGGCTACCCAATTTTTCCACATCTGTAATGTTTCACATTTGTCCCATTCCTAGAAACTTAATATGGTCACATGAAATCTAAAATTGCTTAGATTTGCAGAATTTCTTTAGAGTTTCACAATGAGATTTATGACCAGTTCATAATTCATTCTACAAGTGCTCCTGCATATAAAAGGAGTTGCTGTCCTCTAAAAAACTTGGTTTGTTTTTCATCCTGATTGTTATTCCCTCTAGTATTTCTGATTTCATAATGCCAATGGTTTAAAAATATAGGATTAAAAAGTGAATTTTAGTCATCTGGTCCTGCATTAGAGAGAATTCAGTAAAATCTCAGATTCTCAGAAGAGATACAGGCAACCGAACACCCTTTTTTTTGTTTGTTTGTTTTATTGATTAAAATTATCTTGAAAGGTTTCTTTCTGGCTCTGCAATGCAGTGCAGTAACAAAAGGCTTCACAAAAGTACAGCTAGCAATTTCAGTGAAAGGATCTCTAGAGAAATGTGAAGTCTGTGCAGCAGCCACTAATAATGACTGGCATTGCTGTAAAGCAGCCACGTAGGGGTACAGAAAAGGAGAATGGAGGCTGAACCCAGGAGGGGTTTCTGCAGACTCTTTGCAGTTATTATATGTCTAGACTATCATTTTTGTGATTACTCACCTCACAGCATCACTATAGAACTGAGAGAGGTTAATCAGAAAGTAATGGACTGGCCTTTGGCAGAGGAAGATGCTGTCAAGTGAAATATGTGGGCTGGATTTGACCAGTTTGGGGAGATTCTCCCTCAAATTCAAGGCTAAGAGGGTGAAGACCTTGTAATGTCCCATGTATGCAACAAAAATAAATAGAAGTGAATAGGAAGATACATATCGGAGAAAGAGTAGAAGTGGCTCCTTCAAAGGATATCTCCTGTCTCCTTAGGAGAATAACTGCAGCTTTTCTTTGGGCTCTAGGATGAGGCAAAATGTAATGACTTCCATGCCCATCCATCTTTGACCACAGCTGCTTTCTCCCTGCAAGGAGGAAGCACTGGGATGTTCTTTAGGGAAAAAGGACCAGTCCCTGCTGTCTTCCTGCTCGTTCCTGACACACTAAGCACTGACTATTGCTAGTCTACCTAAGGACTTGTTTGAATTTACTCACTTAAGAGGTAAGGAACAAATAAAATATAACAATAAGAAGATAAGAACAATCATAATAATAGGGGGCATCTCTTATGAGGAAAGGCTGAGGGAGTTGGGGCTGTTCAGCATCAAGAAGAGACAACTGAGAGGGAACTTCATCAGAGTCTGTCAGTGCCGGCAGGGAGGGGTCAGAGCAGGGACCAGGCTCTGCTCAGTGCTGCCCAGCAATGCGCAGGAAGTTTCACCTGAACATGAGGAAGAAATTCTTCAGTGTGCAGTGACCAAACACTGGAACAGATCACCCAGAGAGGGTGTGGAGTGTCCCTCACTGGAGATATTCCAGAAACATCTGGACACAAGCCTGTCCCATGTGCTCTAGGTTCATCCTGCTTGAGCAGGGAGGTTGGACCCATTGTGGTCCCCTCCAACCTGATCCATTCTGTGATTCCAAGAGAAATGAATGAGCAAACACTTGTCATTGATTTTATTAGAAAAGTATGCGTATCTTTTTTATTGTTGTCCATCCTATGAGACTCCTTTTAGATCAGATTATGTCTTACTTGTTAACAGGACCACTTTTTCCTAATCTTCACTGATAACAAGCTCAAGAACAATCAGTTCTTCTCACACTGATTTTCTTCTTCTCATTGGTAAGGACAGGAAATATGTGAATTAAAGTGGAGAAAAAAAGTACTTCTATACCAATACCCAGCTCTAATGCTAATATAGAATAATAACTATCATTCATGGACCTTTTCTCTCTATGTGCTTAAAATCTTGTGTTCTGGTTTCCTCTCAAAGATTGCAAAAGGGAATATGTTTCTATTTCGACTCATGCATTAGGCATGTTGGCAAAGTTAATTCTGCACAGTCTTTATTTATGGTGTAGGGCTGCAGGAAACAAAGCTTGACTTTTATTTTGTGTTTGCTGCAGTGATAGGCAGAAAGAATTTTGCACTTATAAAATGAACACACAAGGAGGCCCAATTTATTAGTTTATATATAATTTCCCAGAGGAAGACTATGCTCAATAAAATTCCCATTTAATTTTCAATATGTTTGGTTATTCATAATTTGGACTGTCATTATAGGTATGGTTTCATTTCTGAAATGATTAAAAGCTCTGTATAATTTCTGATGAGCTGCCTCAAACTGATGAACTTGTCCTTACCTCTCCAGATAATCATGTACGGTATTGATTTTATCTTTGTGTGAAACCACTATGATACTTTTTGAACAACTGAAGAGAAAACATTATTAGACAGATTCTAATATAATGTTCAAGAGATGAAGCAAAACCTTCAGCAATTCCTCAGTGTCTGCTGATATAAAAATCTCTACATGAATTATCATTCCCAATCTTGCTGAGGCTTAAAAATACTTTTTCCCCCCTATTTTTTTAAGTGAAGAACTTTCATAAAATAGAATACCAACACTAAAGAAAAGACCTATTGAAAGCCCTTTGAAAAAATAGATGATGATAAATGACATTTACCTCAGCTGAATGAATTCAATAGCTGGCAGGAAACTTGGGAGATCCACTTATCTCTTTGAGTACTCAGTAATATATAAGGCAAGGAACCAGGAAGCTTATAAAAGTAGAGATAACAATAGTCAACCATATCCCCTTTTGCTTTTATTCCTGTGATATCAAATTGTCTCTGGTAGTACAAACAGTTTCCTGATTTAAAGTAGTTGTAGATAAGAACAGGTAAGGCAAGATCCTGCTTCTTTATAAAAGTATGGAGTAAAATGAAAGTATTGGATTAGCTAAATCCAGTTGCTGTTTTTGAATTATTTGGATTGGTTTAGACTAGTTTGGATTAGCTGGATTGTGTCGAATTTAAAAATGAATTTTCTATACTACTTTTCTTCTCATATAGTACTTTGAGATCAAACAGTGATAAGAATTAGAAATGGGAATAAGTTGATATTGTATTTTATTTTGTCTTCCTATTGTTGCTTACAAAGCAGTTCCAAGGTAATCCATGTAAATCAATATCCAGGGTCACCCACATTTTGGCTCTGATTCTGTTTTTCAAATGTCATTCTGACAAATGCTCTTCATTATATCTTTACAGCTGCAGTTTGTGATGGACAATTCATGTTGACTGGCTCCTCTGGGTTTTTTCACTCAATGAATTATCCAAACCCATATAATGAAAACATTGTTTGCAAATGGATAATAGTGTAAGCCATTTTCCAATAATTTTGTACCTAACATTTTTTTTTTTTTGGATTATGAGGTGATCTTATTTCCTGCACAATAGTCTTATGTCATTTGCTTTTATTCCCAAATAACTCAGCATAGAAAATATATAATATCATTTTCTCCTTTCTGTTTATGTGAATTTTCTTTAAAAACCTTCATGCATGAGCTCCATAACTATATCAAGAATTTTTCCACTTACAAAAATTCTTAGGTACAATTTTCAGAAATCTTGTGTTATATACATCTAGAGGAACATAAGTGTAAGTTCAAAATAAATCACAGAATTCAAAATAATTGCAGGATTTTTCTTCCCCAAAGGATGATATTAAATAGTAGCTTTCAGATAATGTCTTTATATGATGCAATTCTTATTTAACAGAGTTTTCAAGAATTCGCTTGTCACTTAGGTGTAAAGGGTTTATATGTGAATTAAGAGTATCTGTGTACCCATGTAATTTAGAAATATGTTTTAGA